CTTGGGCCACTGGAAGCACGAAAAGTGAGAACGCTAAAATCCGACAACAACTAGTAGGAACCCATGGATTTGGCTTCTTGGCGTCTTGGAGAGCTTTTGGCCCGCCTCTTGGTCCTCTCTTAGAACTTCTTGAAGGCGCTTCTGGTCCCTCCTCTCGCCCGTCTTGGCCCCCCCCCGGCCCCCGGAAAAGTTACGCGGGGAGCCTCACGAGTCGGGTCTCAAGGGACGAGGGTCCATGCAGACGGGGGTCAGCCAGAGTCTCAGATCTTGCAGGATCCTGCAAAGCCCGACTGACCCGGGGGTTAAGACTGACTCGGGTTAGTAGGTCCCTGGGCTTCAGGAAGTCTGCGGGATCACGCGGCGCTCAGGACATCCAGCAGTGTGAGGTCCGGGCCCCTTGGTATTCAAAAGGTTCGATGGTCAGTACATACTAGGAGCTCAACGCTAACAGGACCTGGGGACACTCCAACTCGTGCCCCGAAGTTCTGTGACGGATACAGTCGGACCGAGAGATAAGATCGAGACCGGTTCGGGGAGGATGCCCTCGTCTTCTTTGTGCTTGTTGTGTGTTCCTCTGCATCCTGGGGAGGGTTCCCTCGGAAGTTCTGTGTGTGTTTCGCTGGCGGAGGGTCTCATGTTCTTGAGGGATGCTCTTCTGGCCCGGGTCCGACCGCACAGCTCGCCAGCACGATGGCCGCAAGGAAGAGAGATGGCGGCGGAGGGCGTCGAAGGGGGGGCGGCCTTGGCGGGGGGGCGTAAAGAGGGGGGGGGGGCGCAGTGGGGCCCGGCGGCGCCGGGAGGTGCCACCCGCGGCGTCGTGAGACTTTTGAGGGGGGGGGGGAGGAAGCGCGGCAGGCTCGGCGCCGCCTCAAAGCGCCAATGCTGTTTGTGCGCGCCGCTCCGCCCCCCCCCCGGAAGCGCCGCGCGTGCCGGGACATCTTGCAGCCTGTGCTCGGCGGCGGGCGCCTCCTGGCCACGCCGCTCTCGGGGGAAGTCGCTGCGATGCGAGATTGCTGCACGATGCATGTCCGGATCGGGCGCACGCCTTCGAGGAGGGCAGGCAGAAGTAGGTGTGTCCTCGCGCGCCCCGCTTGGAGGAGGCGGGGGTGGGGAGCCGGGATGCACAAAGGGGCCCGTCGCTTCGCATCGGGCCCCCTTCGACCCGCTCGCTGCGATGCGGCATCGACAATCGCCCGGCTGGCTCGATCGGATCGGATCCCCTGCCGACGGCCCGATGTCTGCACGGCGCTGCGGTGCGTCCGGGCGCAGCCGGTCCGCTTCGGCTTCGGCTCCGTGTGCCGATTCTGCCCGAGGCCACTGCCGCGCTCCGACGCGCGGGCCGCAGGGCTCGACCGACGCGGTGTTTTTCGGCGCTCTCGTGGGCCGTGTTCGTTCTGATCTCGTTGTGCAGCAGGAGCGGCGCGAAGACAGAACGAGGGAGAGCGAAAGCACAGTTTTTTGATCCGCAGGTCGAGAGCCCACCTCTTCTGGTCGGAGCTGAGCGGGCCGCGCGAAGCTTGAATCAGGCGGAGAAGAGGAGGGAGAAAGCGGCGGAGCCTCAGGGAAAACGAAAGCACAGCGAAGACGGATCACAATGCTCGGGTCGAGCCTTGCGGGCCGATGATCACCGGTGCCTGGCCTCGGGGCCCAGCGGCCGCGCGCCGGTCCGTTTCACTCTGGAGCGGTCCGCGGATCGCGGAGGGCTCCTGCCCTGGCTCGGAGCGTGGCCGCGACTTCTGGAGTATGGGGATCGGCTACACAGTCGGCCCAGGTTAGGAGGTCGACCCTGCCAACGCGAGGGTGCCCTCGTGTCCTGTGTCTCGCGGCCCATGCTTCCTACATTCCTGTGGCAATGTGGCCCTCGGAGGGGTCTTGTGTCCTCTCGCGTGTCCTGTCCAATCGAGTCCGACTGTATATAATTGATTTGCCCCAGAAGTAAGTTTGCACGCCGAATCCACGGGCGCTTCGTAGAACCTTCGCAGACCTTGCGTACGTGATGCATTTTTTGTTGGAGATACGCCGTGGATATCAATTCCGGGAAATGGCAATTCTCTAGTTGATCTCTCCTACTCGACCTTTGTCTATGACAAATGAAGCCGCGCAGACAAGGAGGGACACCCGGGGACACACCCCAAGGGAATTCTTCGGACGCAGCCCTATCGAGGATGGACGCCACCCCATCGTATATCCTTGGAGTGTGGACGCGATTCGCAGGCGATTTGTCTTTACCAGCCTCCCGACTTTTTGACGAAAAACGAGGCCACTCAGAAAAGGAGGGGAGCCCCTGGGATGCACCCCAGAGGGAGCTGTCCGGACGCATCCCCCCCCCGTCGTATACCCAGGGTTGGGCCCCAGGTATTTCTGGTCCATGCGAAACCCTTGCGAAGCTTGGGATAGGGTTCGACATACAGTCGGGGCCCTGAAGAAGGAACCCTTTCCGTTGGGGAGGGGCTCCGTGTTCCTCAAGTGTTTCGCAGCTTGCCTTGGATGTTCCTTAGGTTTTCGATACGAAATCGAAGTTCAACTTATGGAAAATAGGGGCCTCGTTCCTTATTTTGGGTTCCTTGGGTCAACGCCCCGACTGTATGACACGTCCCCTGCGAGCGACACCTCCGGAGGAGGGACGGAGGGGGCCCGGTCGGGAAGGCCCGCGGCTTCGGGTAGCCCCGGGGCAAGGCCCGGGCGGCGTGGCGGGGACGGTCTGGGCCCGTCGTCGCGGGGCTCCACGCGGGGGCGGAGCAAGCTTGCCTGTCCCCCCTTCTATTTCCTTGTCCCTCCTCGTCCTCCTCCTCCTCCTCCTCCTCCTCGTCCTCCTCCTCCTCCTCCTCCTTCTCCCTCCTCCTTCCTCCTCCTTCTCCTCCTCCTCCGCATCCTCCTCCTCCTCCTCCTCCTCCTCCTCCTCATCAACACAGGTACGGAAAGAGTGGGCACAGCGCCCAACAGAAAAACGTTGCCCCAAACCGACAGCGGCCGCTGTTGGGCAGGCGGCGTTTGGCCTTCAAAGCAGCACGTCCGCGGCGGCGCGAACAGCGAGTCTTGCGCAAAATGCTCAGGAGCTGCTGTTCTAAATGGGTTTGGAAAGAATGGGTACGATGCCCGGCAGCAGTTCTTGCTCGTTTTGAGCAGGACTCCTTGCTCGAGCCGCCGCGGACGCTGTTTTCTGAAGAAAGACAGCCGCCAGCCCTACAGCGGCCGCTGTCGGCTTTGGAAGACATCTGCTGCTGGGCGCTGTGCCCCTCTTCTCCGTACCCACTTCGGGCATCCAAAGCTCAGGGGTGCGCTGGAACGAGCCGCACTTGGCAGGGCATGTGGGGCCGAACGAAAGGGGGGATAGGGAAAGGGGAGGGGTACGAAATCTGCTGCGTGCAGCTGGTTTCGGCCCCGCCGCCGGGCCCATTCCTCGATACATGGGCGCCTCCCGGCGCCGGGAGGCGATGGGAAAATCAGCTACGTGAGCTGATTCTCCACCCTACCCTTTGCTACCTCCCCCTTTCGCTCCCCTTCGAGCATGGCGCTTGCAGCGCGAGCTGTCCGCCCTCGGTTGTGCCGGCTGCCTCTTCCACCCGGGGGGGGCGCCGGGGGCGTGCGGTGTTGCGAGGGCTGTGCGGCCGTGGGCCTGCCGGCCGGTGGAAGCCGCTGCCCCCCCCGCGTTCCTCCGTTCCTCCGCCTCCGCCCCGCCCCCCCTCCTCCTCCTCCGCCGCGGGCAGGAGTTTGAAGGGCCGATTCTCCACCACCGCTACCACAGGGAGGAGCAGGAGGAGGAGGAGGTGGAGGAGGAGGAGGAGGAGGAGGAGGAGGAGGAGGAGGAGCAGGAGCAGGAGCAGGAGCAGGAGCAGGAGCAGGAGCAGGAGGAGGATCTCCCCATCCTCCCTTCTCCCCCGTCCTACCCGTGGTAGTGGTGGTGGGAATCTGCCCGTCAGGGGTGGGCCAGGCCCGCGAGCCCCAGCTGCGAGCAGCGCCGAAGCGCCCTGGCTTGCTCATGTAGGCTCGCCAGGGAATGTTCTGAGAACCTTTTTGGTGGTCTGCACGCTGCGTTCTTCGAACAGGTCTGGCTGAGACCGCCCTGTTTTGACACAGTGGGTGTCTGCTCTCAGAACATTTTGCTTTTTCTCTCAGAACGTTTTGGTTCTAAGATAATTTCGTGGTAGGCCTGTACGAATACCGGGACAGTCGGTCCCTGCTCAACAGCTCGCTCACTTTCGAGACCAGGGCTAGATTGACAGCCATTTTCCGCTGTGCAGGTTGGGTTGCTTGGGGAAAAGCTTGTTATGGTTTTTTCAAGAAGCGATTCCGCACACGCTCACGCTTCCGTCTTGCCGTTCTCAATCAGTGTTTACATTGAAGGGGTCTTAGCGGATATTGAAAAGTTTGACGAAAGTTTCTGGCCGATTTCGGTGGGCGGCCGTCACCCCAGGTTCCCAGTTATTGGTTCCGGGCCGATGTCGGTGGGTTCCCGGGATCTTGACCGATCTCTTTATCGATCGGTCTCAAGATCGACTTCATGCCCATTTCCCTATCGATCTCACTATCGGTGAAGTCGGTTCAGTGACGAGCGATCTCACGATCGTTCTTTTTAGACCCACTTCACTATCGGATCCCACGATCGGCCTCACTATGATCTAACAATCGATGCCAATATCCAGACCAATGGTTTACAAGCCGTCCACTGATTTTGGTTTTTCTCTGGTGTATTCTTCATGCTCAGCACCCAGAGCAAGCCCTCGATCCAGTCCGCGCGCGCGTGATCTATAGTGTTGTTGCCAGCGATCCTCTCACTTCGCGCGTGCAGGCGCATGCTGACGTGCATGCAGCTCATAGACTGTTTGATTCACCTTGCTGGGCGCTGGCTGGTCCGTTTCTATTAGATATCATGTTTGTTCGCCCGACATTTGTTGATTTGATGATATATGTTGTGGTCCATGCTTATTGCAATTTAGTTGTGGCACAGAATGCAGTTCACGTCGCTATCCCGCCCGTCGTGCTCTGGGCTCGAGTGAGAT